ATGCAAATTCTATTTCCAACCTGTTAGCTACTTCTCTCCACCCACCTTAGTTGGAAATGAGATTCCCAAGGACAGACAGGCCCAAGGACAGACAGGCCCAAGATCTTGACAAATACCAATGTGTTCATGAGACTTAAGTTATTGCCAGGCTCAATGTTACCTGACAGTAGGATTCCACTGGATTGTGCAACCACAAATTCATTTCTATCAAAGTATCCCCTTGTGAAGGGTATTTTACACAGTAAATTTGTGTAATCACAGCAATAATAAAGCTTTGATTTTTTTATTTAGCTTTAATTTGATTGACCTTGTTCAATAGCAACATGAATCTGTGTTAGTTGGTCTTGAGCATGCACAAGTTTATAAATATCTACAAAGATCATGAGGATTCCTCATTTATATTATGAGTTCAGCTTGAGTTAATATTCCTACTCAATTATGGTCCTCCTTCTAGGGTCTTGATCTTTCTTTCCTTTTTTTCCTGATATTATTTTAAGTCCTGTTACAGTTTAATAGTTTCCTTTGCAGCAGGCTTGGTGCCAGGAATTCTCTAGAAGGGATACCTAGCCTAAGTTTTAGTGGGTAAGTAGAAGCTATCTGAGTAGGGCAGAGTACCAGAGGATTAGCTCTTGGGTCAAACTTCCCTAAATGTAAATCTCTCACTCATCCTCTTCCTCCATGGTCTTGCATCTAGAGTTGCACTAGTTTATACTTAAGCTAGCTCCTTCTCAAACTGCTTATCCTAGCCACTGATGTTTCAACAGCTGGTTTCTGGATATATATATTCAAGATTCTTAGATGTCTGATGCTATTCTGAGTAGAATTTATTGTCTAATTTCTATTATTAATTTTAAATATCAAAAAAATAGTTTTATATATTTGTTCATTATACACTTATCTTCTGAATTCCCAGGACTTAGAGCAAATTTTGAGATAGCTTTTAATGTTGCAATTATGTTTGGCATGTCATTTTTTCCAATGTTCTTCATGAATGCTTCAATTTTTTTGTTTGTTTGTTTCTTCTGCATTAGCTACTGCTACAAAGATCATAAAAGGACAATGACAGGATCTGATATCAGGTTTTAGTAGGAAATGGCTTTAATGTTTTACCCTTTAAAATATCATCTGCCATTTTTGGAATGATCATTTGTTATTTTTCAGTAGCCCCTTTCTCATCCTTCTCTCTTATAGTTATCCACAATAGCTTTGCATTTTATTGAATAGCTTTTCAGCTGTGATTGATATGCCTTGGATTGTTGATATAACAAAATATGCTGATAAAGTCCCTGGTTCTGAAGTCCTTGTGTTACTGAAATGCATTTCATTTGCCATATCACATAATTTAAAAAATGGATATCTGGACTCAGACATCTAAGAGTTTATTTGAAATACTTCTTTTTTTATCTGTAATTGGAGTCCATCTAAATTTCTCTTGTGTGCTATCTTCATGATACTTTAGGCAGTGAATTAAGGATATATCATCTTTTCCTGTGGACTGGAATTATTTAAATTACATAAGAATTACATGATGGTTGAATTTAGATTAAATGCAGCAGTAAAACCATCTGAGCCTGCCACCCCATTTGAATATGGTTATTAGACTACTCAGAATTTTATTTTATTTTGGGTAAAATGGAGTATTTTTGTGTTTTGATAACAAACTAATCATTTCTCAAAGACTTTGAACATGTATTATCACTGGTTTGTGTTAGATGCCTTAAATATAAATCCTTAAGCTTTTCTCTATTTGAAAATCATAATTTATTATTAGCATTTAGTTGCCTTCTCTCTGTGTGTGTATCTCTGTCTTTCCTCTCTCTCTCTCTCTCTCTCTCTCTCTCTCTCTCTCTCTCTGTATTTACACCTCGGACACTAGGTGGCTGTTTTGAAAATCCCCTTGGATTTCTACTGTTGTACGAAGATTTGGTAAGTCATAACATATCAGATATTTTAAAGGAAACT